TGTTTAATATTTTTTTTTTCCGGCGCACCCGGCACACAGGTCGCAGTGTGCGCACTGCGCACGCTGCGCGTGCTGCTAAACCAGCGCACTGTGCACTGTGCACTGGCGCACACTGTACACCGGCGCGCACTGCGCAGTGCACATGTGCGCCGCGGCTATGGTTTTTACATGTTCATGATGATGGGGTGTTATGTTTGGTGGAATTACATATTTGGGTCCTTCCGTCTCTTTCCCTTTTTGCATATCTTCCCTTTTTGGGATTTGTTTCTCCTTCTGTCTATCTTTACGACACACAGTCCAAGGTGGGGCAGTTTACCCATAAAGTTGATAAACATAGAATACATGCCCGTTCTCAGCCCATAAAAATGCTTGCAAGGGCTATCACAAACCTCCAGAGACTGTCTGTAGTACAGGAACACAGGGTCCTCGAAAATAGGTGTCATTTCGCTGTGGACAATGCCTGCTCACAGGGCCAACAGGAGATTCAAAATCCGCATTGTTGTGAGATACCACCCCTCTTTACAATACACATGTCATAGGTTAGTGAGCATTGTCCACTACAAAAACAATTGTGTTATGATCCTCCCTCATTCATAATGCAAAACTCGAATTTGAGACCACACAAGACTTGCTGGATTCAAGAAGAAGGGAAAAGAGCAAAGAGCAGAACAGAATGAAGAAGGTCTGAAGAAGAAGAGAAAAAAATACACAAGTTTGAACCAATGCCGTCTCTCTCTCTTCTCTTCCCACTCTATCTTCTTCAATCTCCGCCTCCTCTTCCAATAATCAAATAAACACCATAATAAGTGAATGAATGAGCAACAACCATGTCTGATTAATCACCCTTGCTATCAGCACTCAAACAGCTTCCCTTTCAGCCTCACTCTTCACTCAACTCTCCTTGCCACAACGGATATTGAAAGGACAATGCAGCAATGTGCCTCTCCCATCTCATAATGCCACAGCCACACCCCCAGATGAAGTGCAACCCAGCAGGTTCACTCCTTCTTCCTCTCCCTCAACCTGCACTCTCTTCCGCCTCTCTCTCTATAGTCTAGCTTGAGGTACTTCTCTCTCCACCTGCATAGTGTAGGCCTACACCCTTCTATTAATTATTGTCCAGAGGCCTATATCCTTCCATTACTACTCGTCCATAGCCATGGAGGTCGTCTTCTTCACACTCAAGCTCTTCCTCTTGCCCCAGAGGTCCACCTCACTTCTCCCTCTGGTGGAGCATCAGCTGACTGCTGGTTCAAAGACAACTCGCTCCTCTTCGGCGTGAAAGATGCACTCTTGCTGCCTGGCGTCCAGCACCTCTTGGCTGGGCACTAGCCTCTGGCTGGCCTCCCCACCGAGTGCTCCTGCATTTGGTGAGAACTCCTTTGTGGACTGTCATCTATCTACAGACTCCGCACTTGGACCTGTACCTGCCTAGTAGTGCCTCCATTAGGCCCCCAACGTACTGGACCTCAACTGGACCCTTCTGGCCCACCCAACTTGCTGGAAAATCCCTACCGGCCTCTATCAAACTCTAATTTTGTCCCTGTCTGCTCCTCTATCCTCAATATGAAAGGATGTCACGCTGTATCAGTGTCCCGATTCCTGGTCCCAGAGTCCCAGTTGGTGCCAGTCCCATGGGTTCCAGTAGATCCCAGTCCTAGGGTCCTAAGAGTCCAGTAGGGTCTGGTAACTGAAGTGTCATGTTTTGGTAGGAGTCGGACCGGTACCTCACAAAGGAAGTCCAAAGTCCCAAGTTCAATTTTGCAGCAGCATCCTAGGAAAGTCTGGAGACTTATGGAACAGAATTGCAACCGACCGGCCGTGGAGAACCGGTACCGGTCCGAAGCAGGCAAACAACCAGTACCGGTCCAAAGTCCCAAATTCAATTTTGAAAATGTTTGGGCGCAGCACGACCAGGAGTGCCCCCATGCCGGTCTGCAGTACCGGCCATGTGGTCAGTTCGCAGTGTTAGCTAGTAGGTGAGTGTGCGGCTTGCTGGCGGGCGGTTTCAGCTGCCGGGAGGGGTTACGCTTCCAGGAGCTGGGAGCTATGGCGAAGCTAAACCTTTGGATGGAGGGAGGAGCTATGGCGACTCATGTTAGAATGGTGAAGACCAAGGGGGGCCGATCTGAAAGGGCGTCCACGATTCAAACCCCAAATTCAGATCTCAGGGTCAGATGCCCAGGTCAAGAAAAGGCTGAGTCTGTCAAACTCAGAAAAGTCACAATCGGGTACCTTAGCAGTCTAGTCCAATAGGTACCCAGCAAACAGTCACATTCCACGAGAGAAAAGGCAGATTCACAAGCAAGAGTCATGTCTCACAAAACAGGAGTCACGTTGCATAATGAAAAGTCATGCTGAAGGGTCACATTTCACGAATAAAGGACTGTCCCACAGGCAAAAGTCGTGATTCAGAGGTACCAGTCACAGTCCACAGTCAAAAGTCATGTCTACAAGTGAAAAGTCACGACTCGAAGGCCCAAGCAGCAGCAGACCAAAGGAAATTCGGGAAGGTTCCAGACCTTACCATTCAGAAGCAGACAGGTCGTGGGAATGTGGTACCAGAACCCAGTCAGGACCCAAGAAGTAGAGGCTGGCATGAGTTGATGTGCATCCAAGACTACAAAAGGACTGACCAGCCTACCATTCGGGCAGATGCTCATTCGCACGAGAGTGTGGAAGTGCTTGTGCACTTGTGCGCTAGTGTGGAAGCTGCGCTAAGCCAGAGAGCAGCGCTGAGTGAGATGAGAGAGGGGAGGTAGATGCTGGCAGGGAAGAAGGCAGCCATAGCTGCGCCAGCACTAGGAAGCAGTATAGTTAGTAGTTAGTAGTAGTAGAGCAGTGCATAGTATTCAGAGTTGATCCTCATGTGAGTGTTTATAGTAGGGAGTGCACATATGAGAGAAGAAGAAGACTGTGTAGAGAGAAGACCAGAATCTTCAAGTGAGAGATAGATAAGAGAGAGAGAGACAGTGAGACATGGTGGCTACTTACCTGGAGAGCGCTGAGTTTGGTGTGGATAACGAAAGCTGATGAGCACAGATGTTGAGACTCTTGATGATTGAAGAAGACTTGTAATCTTGTTGAGCATTGGACAATTGAACTCAGGATTCTCTCTCAATAATTCGGTTGTGATAATTGAGCTGCGCTAACTGGTCTATTACCCATCTTCTCTTTCTGCAATGTGTGTGATAATGCAATCCGTGAAACTGTGAGACTTGTAAGTTGGCTTGTGCACTCCACCATGTGGTGAACTTTGAGGCTCATTACAGATGATGCGGAGAGCTCTTCCAAGGAAGTGGGTGTGCTCTTGATGCAAGAGATATGGGGGACTGCTCTGCGCTGCGACCTACCGCGTCACAGACTGGCATGGTAAGGAGGGAGGAGCTGTCGTTGAGGGTACAACAAGGGTTTCTGTGGTTGTTTGCCCTGCTGCTATCTGTACGGTAGCTGACCCCGTGTGCCACTTAGTTTAGTGGCATGTGGCAAAGGGGAGGAGATCCCAAGGGGAGGGGGAGGCATCACGTGGAGTGGGAGGTGGGGAAAGGGGAGTCCGTGGGCTTGCAGCAGAAATACAACAACAAAAGGAGATTAACACTGGAGGACATCAGGCGATGAGGATAAAATTGTACAGCGGCGAGAGAAGCACTTATGAGGAGTTCACATTTAATGATCCTAAGAGGGAGACCTTCATGCTTTTCACGAACGTTTCCGTTGCCTTTCCTTCACTGGTAGCCTCACTTTGCCTTTCGGGTTTTGTTTTGCAGGAGATCATTGTTAGGACTAGCTCTTATGTCGAGCTTTCGGACAAAGCCATTGTAAGTAGGCGCTCTTATTTTCGGTTTGGCTACAGGCCCTTTACTCTTTTCTGGTTGTGCGAGTCTCAGCTCGTCTGGATTGATTTGTAGTCGACTCTATCTCTGGTAGGTTCCCTGGTCATGTTCTGGATTAACTTTCACGACACGTTTAGATTCTATTGCTAGACCTGAGAGTTAACCAAGAATCATATAAGTATACGATTTCTCTTCGTACCTAGTATTCAGATTCTCTCATATTTCTATAACGTCACTATTTCAGGTTAATCCCAAGTATACGAGTTCTATTTGTACATGGTATTCAGATTCTCTCATATTTCTATAACGTCACTATTTCAGGTTAGTCCCTAGAGTTCCGAATTCTTAGTTCTTAAATTTGAAATTTTAAATTCCTAAATCGTAGCAGGGTTGATAGTGGGCAAAGAGGCGGATACGGTAGACGGTAGATGGTGCCTTATGGATATAAAGTGGAAGGAGGAAGAGTTCAGACCATACCTGCGGCGCATCGCGTCTGCGCTAGCTCCGCACGTGCGGCGCACAGCGCACGTGCAAGCATGCGTGCGCACGTCATGCGGCGCACCCCAATAAATAAGTATAAAAAAAAAATCGGAAAGGGCTGGCTGAGGTAGCCAATGGTGCCCCTCCCTTCTAAAAATCAAAGGGCACAGAAAAAGAAATTAGGCCCACATATTCCTTGTTAAATGGTCTATTGCCTAAAGGACCCCAGCAGCGTATCTGCAAGGGCCCCCAGACTCCCAACATCTCGAGAGACGTTGAGCAAAATTCGTGTGAGAAATGAGCAGGCCACCAAAATATGTTCTGGTTTCAAAGTGAGGTCTGCTTTCTAGCAGTTATGGGTTACATTACTACCGTGGCTCTCTCTTTCTTTTGTTTCGTTTTCCTACGAGCAGTGGCCCTAAGAGCCTTGCTGCACTCGTCACTACTTGCACAAAAGACAAAACATATGGCGGCGTATGGTTCCATGTTCCAGCAGAAGATTCATTCCTCTCTTCTTTTGTTTCCTTTTCCTACGAGCAGTGGCCCTAAGGGCCTTGCTCCACTCGTTACCAGTTGCACAAAAGACAAAACATATGGCGACGTATGGTTCCATGTTCAAGCAGAAGATTCATTCTAGTTTTGCACATTTGGTGAGTAGTGGAGGGAAGCCCTGAAAAGCACGTGCTGAGTTGGCCTGCTACTGCCCAAGAACTTGCGTGCTCAGTGGTCCCATAACTGCTGAAACACGGACATTAATGTGAATCAACAGCATATATATTGGCGTGCCACGCCTCTAACATGGCTATGACCATTGACTCGTTCATGGTGAGGAGGCCCCTGCTAATTCTTTGCAGGGGCCTCTTGGATAACCCGCAGGGGTCACTTGGATAACCCGCAGGGGTTTTCTAATCAATGTTAAGAAGCTATTTGTTTGCTGAACTTTGCTCTCTCTCTCTCTCTCTCTCTCTCTCTCTCTCTCTCTCTCTCTCTCTCTCTCTCTCTCTCTCTCTCTCTCTCTCTCGTGCGCGCGCGCGTGATCTCACACATAACAGCCTCTTCTCGATGTTTTTTTTTTTTTTTTTTTTTTTTTTTTTTTGCACTGGTGACCAGCGCACCGCATGGCGCACCGCACAATTGCGCCGCAGGTATGGTTCAGAGTAATCAGCGTCTACTCACCAAACGACTCTTAGGAGAGATCAACTTTCATAACAAACATCGGTCATTTGATCCCCCCTTTCTCGGCCTGCATTTTGGCCCGTGATTGGAACGCAACTATAGACCCCGCCATGGATCGTATATCTAGGTCCTCGGCTGGTCAGATTACACAGGAAGCGGTGCCCATCCAAAAGCTGATGATGGACTACAATCTAGTCGAACCATACCGGACTTTGCATCCGGGGACAAGAGCCTTCACATTGGTAAAAAAGAACCATGCCCACCATACCGCTCTCTCCTCCATTGACTATTTCCTGATCTTAGGAGAGATAAACTTTCATAACAAACATCGGTCATTTGATCCCCCCTTTCTCGGCCTGCATTTTGGCCCGTGATTGGAACACAACTATAGACCCCGCCATGGATCGTATATCTAGGTCCTCAGCTGGTCAAATTACACAGGAAGCGGTGCCTATCCAAAAGCTGATGATGGATTACAGTCTAGTCGAACCATACCGGACTTTGCATCCGGGGACGAGCCTTCACATTGGTAAAAAAGAACCATGCCCACCATACCGCTCTCTCCTCCATTGACTATTTCCTGATCTCAAGGACACTAATGAGGATAGCTAAGAGCATTGAGATCTTGTCCCTTGCACTGTACCTGGGTCTGGACCACAAACCCATCGAACTCATAATCAGCTTCGAACAGTATGGCAAAAAGGGCTCTAGCTTTCATAAACTCAATAACTCCCACTTATTGAGCCAGACTTTTCAGGTAGGAGCACCTACTGAGCCAGACTTTTCAAGTAGGAGTTCAGGATTGTTGGCAGAATTTGAGGGGCGCCTACCTACCCATACGGGATCGGTGGGCGTGGTTTCAGGAAAGTTATTCCACATTATCACAAACTGTTGCTAGAATCTCAAGGAAATTAGTGGCCAACAAGAAACAGAAGAAGCACGCGTTGGAGACAGCCCTAAAGATCGCGGAGACAAATCTGATTTATAACCCCTCTTCTGCACTTTACACAAATATTTTCGAAAAGGCAAGAGAAGAAGTCACTATGTGGAGATGGTGGGAACTAAAGGGACTACAAATAAGAGCCATAATGAACGAATAGGAGCTAAGTCAATCAATGTCAAAACGCTTCTTCGCAAGAATCAAAGCAAACTCAAGGGCCAACACAAAAGAAAGCCTCTCAAATCCAATTGAAACAGTGACAGACAACAAAGGAATGTTGAACGTAGCAAAGGAATTTTGCGAAGAGCTCTACCACACGAAGACGCCTATGCCCACTCCGCCCAACACCAGAGAGGCACGAACTAGGATGCTGCAATACCTGGAACAAACGATATCTCAGGAACAAGCAGCTCTAGACGAGCCCATCACCATGGAAGAACAACAATTCGCTGTCCAAAATATGAACAACAATAAGTCACCAGGAATCGAAAAGCTGACAAAAGAATTATGGGAAAAGTTATGGCCGCTCTTAGGGGGCGATCTGCTGAACTTCTACAACGACAACTAGCTCAAGGGGGGATTGGGAAACTTACTGAGTAGCAGCGTGGTCACTTCATTGTACAAAAAAAAGGAGAGAGAAGATATCAGGAACTATAGATCCATCTCGCTTCTAGCACTTCCCTATAAGATCCTAGCCAAAGCTCTTGCCTTTCGAATCCTAGACCTGGTAGACAAATGCTTTCATATAGACCAAACAGGCTTCATCCCTAGGAGATACATCTTGGACAACGTACTGACCCCCAACGAAATGGCCAACAAAGTCAAAGAAAAAAGGATAAACAAAAAAATAATTTTTTTGCGATTTTAAAAAGGCCTACGACCAAGTCAACTAGGCCTTTCTCAATGCAAGCATGGAAAAGATTGGAGTAGGCCCAAATTTTAGGAAGTGGGTGTGCATTCTTTATAATGACGCCATAGGGTGCGTCCAAGTCAATGACTTGCCCTCTGATTGTTATCCAATCTCTCGGTCACTTCGCCAAGGGGACATGCTAGCTCCCCCAATCTTCCTCTTCGTGATAGAAGCAGTAGGCTCATTCCTATGCAAAGATCCCTCCATACACAGACTACTAGAGGTCAATGTAGGGTCAACCCACCACCTACAATTCGCAATAATAATATTGTTTGTAGACGATCTCACGATCCTCATAAGAGTTTCAGACTCGTCGTTCAGCGCGTTAGTAAGAGCAATGGAAGCATTCAGACTGGCATCAAGAATGAAGATGAATTGGAAAAAAACAATCGGTTGGCCTCGAGGCAGAAATGGCATGGGATACACTGGAGACACCTACACGATATCTAGGCATCGTGCTGACAAAGGACGACTTTTCCCCTCAAATGGCCCAAAATATACTCGTCAAACAAAATAACAAACTGGGAAGATGGGGTAGCACATTCACATCATTGTTGGCCATGCACTAGCCATCAACACATCTACTTTTTCAACGATGTGGTATATAGCGTCAATCTGGACAGTTCCAGACCATACAATCAAGGAACTTAACCGTAAAGCAAGAGCATACTTGTGGTCGGGTGAGCCCAACAAAGAGAGCTGCTTACCAAAGACAGCTTGGCATTACATCACAAGGAAACCAGCGAAAGGAGGTATTGGTATCATAGACCCCAAACAGGAAACCAAAGCCATGCAAGTTAAATGGATAGTCAAACTACTGACTAAACCTGGTACAACATGGAATAAATTGGCCTTGGATAGCATCAGGGGCCTAGCACCTACAGCCATGCCAGCAAATATATATCTGGTCTGTTCTGGGTAATGACCAAGGAATGGAGCCCAAGTACAGGGTGCATAAATCAACGAAGAGGAACCGGTCCAAACGAAGCCATGCCCCCCACACCAAATTGGACTGCATTGCTACGGATATGGCGGGGAGTCATGTTGAAGAAGGTGGGTAGACCCAAATCCAAAGATGAGGTACTGAGCCAACTCCTGTTTGGTAATCCGCGGGTGAGAGAGCAAAATGATCACCAACTATCCCTTAAGTCTAGAGGAAGGAGATGGCTATCGTGGATCAAACATGGAGTTTGGAAAGTGAGAGATATGTGGAACGAGGAGAAAAAGGACTGGGGGACAGAATAGGAACTTGCCTCCCATATCCTCATATTACTATATGCTCGTCGCCGTTGATCACTCCTACTGTCCTTTTTTTTTTTTTTT